GAGGCCGGGGGGGGGGGGGGGGGCGCTAAACACAAAAATATAATAAATATCCTATAAAATTAATTGAGATATCTGCGAGCTAGCTGATCGAAGATCACACATAAAAAATAAAAATAAAAATTAGGGTTTGGGACCTTAAGGACATGAGTAAAGCTTCTATGATTCAAATTCTTGCTACCCAACCACCCCATTTTATTTGCCATTAGCTCCCATTAAGGACAAGTGTACATAACCTCTTCAAAAGTAGAAATTAATGGCTATATTTTAAATTATAAAAAAGACAAATTAGCAGACAACATTAATTTGCTTCTTAATAACAAAAATTTGTATTCAAAACGACAACTACTACCTAAAAGATCCATTTTAGGACACCAAAGTATGGGCTATATATGAAGCAAATCAAAAGTATTCACATGTGTCATTATCCAAAATTTCTAAAGGTATCCTCATAATTTCAAGAATCATATACTCCACTACTTTTATTCATATTTATTTCACAACAAAATACAAATTGCCTAAAAACCAAAAAAAAAAATCAAAAAAATTACTGTTTTATCACCTTTAATAATATTGAGAGAATTCTTATTTTATTCCTTATAATATCTAACTAAATATGTTTAAAACACAATTCTAAAAATCATCTAAATGTTACTTATTACATGTATTAAAAAGACAAACTAGTTAATGAAATGAAAATTAAGTAATTAACTATACTTAAATCATATATTATCTGACCAATAGAGAAGTCATCAATAATTGAAGAATCCAAAGTACTATTATTCCTAAAATTAAGAAAAAAGAATCCAAAGTACTATTATTCCAAAAAAAAAAAGAAACATAACTGAGCATGCTCAATGTAATAATCAAAGATAATAACATATCTAGTACTAGTAAAATTTATTTAGTTATTTGGAAAAACTAGAAATTAAGAATTACAATGAAAATCGAACCCTCACCTAACACAATAGTAATAAAATTTAGAAAAGAGATCTTACAGAAAAACATAACTAAGAAACTAAAAAAACACATAACTAAGAATGCTTAATGTAATAATCAATTATAACAACATATCTAGTAATAATAAAATTTAGAAAAGAGAGTTACATTTACCTTCTAATATATCCTTATTATTCATTGTTGTTGCTAGAGAGAACAAATTACAAAATGACTAAAATTAGGATGAAGAAGAAGACCCATTAGTGGAAATATGAAGATGAAGCTCACAATTACTAGTAGTACTATTATCATTGTTGTTACTTTTGTGATGATCTTCTTCTTCATTGCTGCTTGCGGTGCCATTGATATTGAATCCATTTTTGTTCTCGAAGCTATGATCTCTACTACTTTGGTAATCTTTTTTCCCAATAGTGTTTTTGTTATTGTGCATCCAAACTCTAAGAACACTTTTTCCAACTCCAATTTCATTGCAAAATTCATCAACAGCAGTTTCATCACATTTCTGCAATTTCCAACCCAATTTCTCCGAAAACGAATGCATTTTCTCTTTCTGTTCTGCTGTAAATTTGGTCCTAAATCGCTTTCTACCATTTGGGTTCTCTGATTTTAAACCTGTAGGAGTAACGGGTTGGGGCTGGAACAGTGACGGCAGCGGCGGCGGAGAAAGGGACAGAGACGGTGACGGAGAGGGAGAAAATCGCTTAATTTGGGGGAAAATATGGTGGCGGAAATCGATGAAGTGGGCCGGCGGTGATGAATCGTCCGACGGTTCACGGCGGTGGAAGTTGCGGTGGCAACCACAAGCGGCGCATTTTAGTGAAATGGGATCTGATGGGGTGGATTCCGGCGAAGGCATAAACTCACCGCAACCGTCTACGGCGTGTCCACCTAAACTTGCTGCATGATTCTTCAAACATTCTTTGTAAATCACCGCCGTGCACGGCGGCAGTTCGTGGTGATGATTGTGGTGATTATTGCCGTTGCTGAAAGATAAAGGCTTAATTAAAGGAGGGGTATCAACTTCTGAATCTGGGGTTTTGGTGGAGGTGGGGGTGGGGTTAGTACTACAAGTTAACTCCATTTTTGTTTGTTTAAATATGTGTTTTTTTGAAATAAAATGACTACAAATAAACAAGAAGGGCAAGAAAATATGATAATTAATGGATATGGTGATTATGAATTGGAAAATTTTGAAGGTTTATTGTAAATGGGGGTTTTGGTATTTTGTTTTGGTTGGTTGAGTTTTTCTCTTCTATGTATTGATGATGGTGATTGAAGAATATATAGAAACATTACAATAAGACAAACTTCTTTGGCAAAATGAATCATGAATCAAGTACCATAAGGTGGATGAAGGAAAGAAGGGCTAGTATAAATATTGAAGGGAGGAGGTTGGAAAATTAATGAAAACTTAAAAAGGTAGGAAGATAAGAATGTGATAATTACATGCAAGACACCATGAGGGGTAGTTGTGAGGAAATTTTTTATTAAAGAAAAAAAATATTCTTAAATTTGACGTGAATCGTTAATTTTATTTCTGAACAATTGATACTTTAGTAAAAAAAAATTACTGGACTAACTAAACTTAAATGCCCTTAAATTCTTGTCAAATATAAGGATGTTTTCAACACTTTTTTTGGTTTTTTATTAAGAGTCTCACGCTCCTACAAACGTTTGAAACCACTTATTATGTATGTGACATATTAGGTTGTATTTAAATCCAGTTTGTCAAGTAAAAAGTGTTTTAAGGTTGTTAATAGTTTAAGAATGAAATTAATAATTTACGTTAAGTTTAACGATATTTTCAATATTTCTCTCTTTATTAAAGGGAATAGCCACAATGACAAAATCAAAATTTTCATGAAATTTGAAATATGAAAATCAAAAGAAAATTAATACCAATTATATATATATATATAATAATAATAATTTTTTATTGAATAGATTTTTGAATCCTTACTAGCTTCGACTATGAAAGTGGGAGGGGGAGGGTCCTGGTCACAATAGTTTTATTTTTGAGAAGTGGCTAATCAAACCAAAGATTGGACATGGTCAAAATTCAAGCTTATCAGCTTTGAGGAACATCATGTGAATCTGTCATGGTTTTTACACGTGTCTCATGCATAAGGAAATTAGATTAGTTGACCACCACTAATGGTTGAGGTATATTATTGAGTTTTATTATTGTTTTGATTTCTTTTTAGAATTTATTATATATATATCGATTTCATTTGCTTGTATTAAGATTAAAATATATCAATACGATTAATACAGGGGCAGACCCATATGGGTTTCATTAGGTTCATTCGAACTCTCTCGATAAAAAGTTACAAGATATATAAGGTAAATTTTTTGTAATTATGTAGATATATTAATTTTCAACTCTCTCGTGAACAAGAAGTAAACTGTAGCATAGTGGTAGATCTCTTTTTAAATTAACCCTCATGTCCGGGTTCAAACCTCATTGTGATTTTTTATTTTTTTTAGCTTCTCTTCATTAATTTCAGGACCAATCTTTTACGGTTTTTTTTTTTTAAAAAAAAACATGCAAACATGCCAAAAGAGTAGATTTAAACCCCAAAAAAAATAATCCATTGTGAACATTTTATTTTTTTATTTTTTCTTCATTTAGTTTTAAGACCAATCTTTCACATTTTTTATTTATTTAAAAAAAACGTGCTAAAAGAGTAGATTTAAACCCAAAAAAAATCCAAACGTGAAAGAAAATCCAAATTGCTAAAGATCTTTTATAACATAACTAACTTTTTGTACCTATAAACTATATACTACTACTTCTTGAAATTGTGTTTTGTTGACTTATTCACGCGTTTGTACTTATATTTTTCAAACTCCCAGAATGAAAGTTCTGAATCCACCACTGGATTAATAGTAAAAATCAACACAAAAAGAATAATTAATGTCCTATTTTATTTGATTTTTTCAAATTTAATTATTAGAACTCATAGTCTCTCAAGTGTAAGACACAATTAAAATACATGGATTCTGAATAATTCAGCATCTCAGTAAGTTTTTTAAAAAATAAAAAATAAAATAGCATCTCTATAACCTAATCAAAGATTCTGTATAAATAAAGGCAAGCGTAAACATTCTTCATAAAACATATTGAAATATTGAAACAAATGAGAAAAGTCCACACCTCTTTTGTATAGTAAATTCAAAAGTATTTTTGCTTATAAAAAGAATTTTTTAAAAAAATTATGAATATGTATACAAAAGCAAAAAAAATATCGTAAGCATTTGGTCATGAATTTTGCAGATCTATTTCGATTGTTTCGAAAATGTATTTTTGAGCTTCTAAAATTCTGTTATAAGCTAGAATTTGGAAGATAATAATTAAGTAATAGTTTCGCATACTTGGTCATATAGTCAAAATCAGTTTATTTTGAAAAATATATTCATAAGAAATAATTTGTATTTGACTAATTAACTTGGAAAACACTTTTAGTAGGAATAATTAATAATTTATCAAATTTTTAAAAGATATTTTTAAGTGTAATTTTTCAAAAAAGTAAGTTAAGAGAAAAATATTCATTTTCATGCCTCAGCTTTAAAAAAACAACCCTTACTACTCTTTAAAAGCATTTTTTTTCTACTTCTTAACTAAACACCTCACTTTTTAAAAATAAATATTTTTAACATTCCAAAAAATTGTTCAAATAGATTATAGTTTTCGTCAAAGGGTTGAAAAGTCAAATTAATTTGTTCTTTATGAAGGGCTTAATTAAGACGCTAATATGAGCTGCAAGTAGGTGGCTTCTTTTATTGCACGTACAATTGATAATTATGTTATGGTTTTGGATTAAATTTTTTTTACCAACGAGGGTTCTGATGGAGTAGTAAGTACTCCCACATTCTTAATTAGAAGTTTTGAGTTTGAGTCCCCCCTGGATACAGAGTAATCTTTGTTAAGGAACACTCACTTCGGGACTTTTCGGCACGAATCCAAATTCAATCGGTTTCAATGTGGATACCAATTTTATTTTATTTTGAATTGTCCATCTTTTGACAATTTCCTCAATTTTTGGAGGTAAGGGGCCATGCAAATTAATCAATATAGCTAGAGGACTAATTAATTAGATCATTTTCTTGACCAGCATTAATTAGTCCAAGAAAAAATTTATCATTATGGTGGTCTTAATATCTATTAATTGATGCCAAAAATAATTAGCTGGATATTAAATTGACAACTCAAGATATGGTAGAGATTATCAAATGAAATCCAAATTTGTCAACAACTAGTTATTAAAAAATTGTAGACTTATAAATCAAAGATCAAAGACATTTTCACAAATTGTGTGCCACAACTTGTAGTGGTTTCTTGTCTTTTTTTGTTTCCAAAATTGATATTTTTTGTTTACTTGAGTTTTTGAAGTTCTTTGCTAGATGTTTTTGCGATTAGAAATGATGAAATTAGTTATTTTATATATAAAACGTGATATAAATTAATGTCATAAAATATTCTTATTTATCTTGTTCTGATGAATGCTTAGTCCTTATTTGGAACGAATCTAGGTATGAAAGGAACAAAAAAGGAAAATTCAAAATCCTATTAATTAAATGATGAGAATATGTTGTAAGAAGGTTAATAGCGATAGGAAAAAAGTAGTTAAGATTAGGTGCAAATATATAGACGCATTTAACATTAAATCTTTTACTAATTAATTGGATAAGAGAGAATTTTAAATCCTTGAATCATCAGCAAGAGAAATTATTATGTTTAATTACGTATTGCGTAAATATCTATAATGTATTTTAGTACGAGTTTCAATTTTTTTTTATCTTAAATTTTATATTTAATCAAGCAAATTTTGCACAACTAACCACTTTTCACAATTTTTTAAAAAAAGATGGCCAATTGTTTTATGCAAAAATGTACCATGACAGTGTCATAAATTTCAAATAAAAGCAAGTAAAAAATTTCACAAATTAATTACGTATTTTAATGACTTTTTAATATATGTTTTTTTTAATACATGTTAAAAAATAACTATTTTTGAAACTTATCCATCAAATAATATCATATAAAATGAAACGAAAATATCATTTTTGCCTCACATTGAGATTATCCAAAATGGTCAATATGTCATGTTAATTAACGTAGAATTTAGAGAATAAAAAGTAATTTGTGGGTATCCATCTTTTTCTTAACCCCCGGGCGGGACCCACGTTGAGGGTATCGGGTGCTCGAATACCCATTGACTCCAACGGAAATTTGTATATGTTCATTGAAAATATTGAAAAGATGATATAATTAATTCTTGAGCACCCATTAATCAAAAGGTTTGATGGGCGCTTTGGTTCTCAAATGCAAGGTAAGGCTTGCGCTGACGACCTTAAGTGTGAGGGTTTGAGTCCTGGTCAAGGTTTTTTTGGCTTTTTTTTTTCTTCTCACTGCTATATGTTTGCTTTTTTTCTTTTCTTCTACGCTAAAGGAAGTGAACACCCATAACCTTTAGATCCTGGATCCGCCACTGTCCCCCCTTCTTTTTGGGTTGATAAAATAAGCTTTAATATAAAGCTCAATATTGCGGCGAAACGGTCGTTATATTCACTTTTCTACTTTTATTATATAATTATTTTTAATCATATGCTCCATTGACTGCCACGTAGTGCATTTCCTAGCCATATAACACTAGTTCTTTTACAAGTTCGCGAGCTCGATTAAATCTGAATTCATGTATTGCATAATTCATTTTCGAGAGAAATGCTTTCGACTTTTTTTTTTTTCCATTTTCATAGATTCAATCTGAAACCACTGACTAAATCAAAATTCATGTGTTGCACGATTCATTTTTTAGAATAAAGCTTCCAACAATTCTTTTTTTTCTTCGTTTTCATAGATTTGAATACGAAATCACTTTGAATAATTAAGAATGATTCATTTTAGCAGAATACATGTCGGTAACCCTATTACCGGTTGTTACTTCTATAAACCTAATTCAAAATTATTAAATACTATTTTATGTACTTTGTTTAGGACTTAAGTACAAGTCATGACTACAAAAAGTACAAAAGCATATTAAAATATGAATATGGCTATTATTATTAATTCAACAACACCTTAGGCTTAACTAGGATTTGCTAATTCCAACATATATAGTTTAAATTAATCCAAATCGGTTGTTGCCATAGTTATATTTTTTCCATTAAATTAAAGAGATTGGTTTATGGTTCCACATGAGAAACCAGTATGAATATAACCTACATGTCCAATTGAACTATGAGCTAGAAGTCTTTTTACTTTCGTTTGGACCATGGCAACCAGTGCTCCTAAGATCATAGAAGCAATGCTAGCTGCAGAAAAAGAAGATTTGTTGCAATGTAGCTCCATAAGAACCATAAAATAGAAACACGTGAAATATTAGCAGAAATAGAGATTTTAGGCGCAATAGAAAGG